CTATGCTAATAATGAATGTGAGACTTGGGTCTCCGTTACGCCTTCAAAACCGTTTCAGAAGTAACTGATAGAACCTTGGCTTTTCTTTAAAAATTGTTAATGTTGTACACCTCTTAGAGCAGGAATGTTCAAACTGGGAACTTTAAGATTTGTGGACTTCAACTCCCAGAATTTCCCAGCTGGCTGGGGAATTCTGGGAGTTGAAGTCCCTAAGTCTTAAAGTTCCCAGTTTGGACATTCCTGCTCTAAGAGGTGTACAACATTAACAATTTTTAAAGAAAAGCCAAGGTTCTATCAGTTACTTCTGAAACGGTTTTGAAGGCGTAACGGAGACCCAAGTCTCACATTCATTATTAGCATAGTGAATAATTATTAATACATCTCAAAAATTTGGAATGATTTATACTGGAGAATGAATTTGAATTAGACCTTTCAAGTCCAAATCTCCTTTTATTATAAATTCCCACAATAGTAAGTTTTTAATACAGTCTTTCCCAACTTGGTGTCTTATGGATGTGTGAGGATCACAACTCCCAGAATCTCATAGTCAATGTGAACCATTCTGGATTGCATTTGTTCTTGCGCTCATAATACAAATGTGTGTGTCATGCCCCCCTCGGAACAAGAACTGAGAGAGATGGAGAGGCCGGCTCCGTTGGCCTTGGAGGAAACTGAGGAAGGGCAGAGTCGGTCCAGGCAAGGATTTTCTGAATTAGTAAGTCCTGGAGACAGGGAGAGCTCAGGAGAAGAGCAAGGACCACCCCCTCCTGATCCAAGAGTCAGGAGGGAAGAGAGAAGGTGAGATCAACGCAGATTGAGCCGACTATGAAAGAGTGCTGCACCCACTTTCACAAGGCACACCTGGGGACTGAGACGTAAGGAGGTGCCAGTGAGAGAGGCACAGAGGTGGGCTGTTCTCGGTTCAGCTGAACCCGTAGTAGTGGTGGCAGAACGCTCCGCCCACCCACCTGGATGCTTCTGTCCATGTGCAGAAGCATAACGAGTGCGCATGAGCGAACTGGTAGTAACAAATTTGGAAACCCACCACTGGAGGGGCATTTGTCGGCAACAAGCATTGAATCTATGGAGTCTCATGTGAACTTGCTGACGCCTGGAGATTGCTGTCCTCTGCCTTGTGGGGCTTGTCAGTTTGCCTGCTTCGCTGAACTTCTTGCTCTGGTTACTGTTCTAGCTTATTGGACTGCTGGCCCTGGTTGCTATTTAGTTAACCTTACTTACTGGATTACTTGAAGCCAGAGTAGTAGTGGGATAAGACTGGTACCCCCCGGTACGAGCATACCGGTGCGTGCTGGGAGCACCAGGTACCGTTCCAGTATGGTGCTCCGAAGGGCCCGCCTGCCTGCCCGCTCTCCTTACCGCTATTTCAGCCGATCGGGGATTTCGCGGATGGAGCGTATGTCGCCTGCGTGATGCTCCGCCAAGCAGCTGGTGGTAAGTACGAATGCTCACGCTGTGCATGTGCATTCACAGGACGCCGGGCCCCGTTGCAGCGTACCGGTTGCAACGGGATCCGGAAACCAACACTGAGCCAGAGGCTTCTGAAGATGCATGTGAGAGCTTTGCTCCCGGACTTATAGTGAATGTGGGAACGTTTGGGGGCAGAGTGGGAGAAATCAAGGGGAGTTAGACCTGTTCTCTGTGTTGCTTTCGTGCCACTCCCTGAGTCATCACAGTATGTGGAGTTACAGTCAAAGAGACATAGTGGACTGTAGGGGAGCTTGCTTTGAGAAATGTGTTCTTTGACCCCTGAAAGAGAAGTCTATAAAAAGAAACATTTGTGGTCTTACCTGTCAAACAGTGGCTTCTCTCCACAATCAAAGGCATCCTGTAACTCTTTGACGAGGTTAGCCTGGCCCGGCAATCGGAAGAGTCCTTCCTCCTTCAACCCCCGCAGACGAATAAAATCCACACACTGTTCTACCAGCAATGGAGCCAAATGGTTTCCATATCGCTTCTCATAACGAACGGTGTCTTCCAGCTTCTGCCCAAATATTCCTGCGTATGACAACAGTAGCTGTAAATACTCCAGGTGAACTCTTAGCGGTAAATATGTCTTTCATTGCACCGTTTTACGTGGGCCTTGGGAAACCCTAACACTAAAACTACGTTATCTGCAATGATGTCAGGTGCAAGAACTCAGGAACCAGAATAGAGTGGTACAAAACTACTACGAGTTTATTTCACTACAAGGCATCAGAAGAAAGAGCCAACAGAATGGACGTTAGCTATATACATAAATATAAGAAGTCTGGTAGACCACAACATGAAGCTGATCTGTCAACAATAAGGGAAAACCTACTGTAACTCCAGCTGCCTTCCCTTAAATGTTGCCATCTGGTGGGATCTCAGACACCACCCCACCCCCACAAAGACAAACACATCCAAAAAGAGGACATTTAATACAATACAATACAATAGCAGAGTTAGAAGGGATCTTGCAGGTCTTCTAGTCCAACCCCCTGCCTTGGCAGGAAACCCTATACCGATTCAGACAAATGGTTGTCCAAAATCTTCTTAAAGACTTCCAGTGTTGGAGCATTCACAACTTCTGAAGGCAAGCTGTTCCACTGATTAATTGTTCTAATTGTCAGGAAATTTCTCCTCAGTTTTAAGTTGCTTCTCTCCTTGATTAGTTTCCACCCACTGATTCTTGTTTTACACTCAGGTACCTCGGAGAATAGTTTGACTCCCTCTTCTTTGTGGCAACCCCTGAGATATTGGAACACTGCTATCATGTCTCTCCTAGTCCTTCTTTTCATTAAACTAGACATACTCAGTTCCATTCAGAGGATTGCCATACTATTAGCCTTCTGGTGGGCTTTAAAAACTGACTCTTTGC